TTTGCACTGAAGTCACTTGCTGGGCTGTTGGCTAGGGAAACCTGCTGTCTAGTTGTAGCCATGGTTGTGCCAGGATGAGAGTGAAGAATGCCTTTCACAGGACTAACTAGTCTGTCAACAGAGGTTGGGCCAATGAGAGATTTGCCTCACACGCTGTCTTGGGAACCTGCTATAGCTCCAGCTTGTGAACCCTCCTGGAAGGAAGGCCATAGGGACTTTGGAAGCAGTCTGACAGTCCTGCAAAAAGGATTGTGGTCCTGTTCACATGACAATGAAACCTTCAGTTATCAACTGACCATCAACCCCATGTCACTTGAAACTGGAAGCATAGTGAGGCAACAGCAGATATGGGGGTGGGGAGGAAGGAGGAGAACAGAAGCAAGTACAGTTTAGTACTGTTAGAGCAGATTTTTTCCTTCTGCATAATACAACGTCAAAGATGTATCGAGTAAATATTTAGTTGTAAACTTGTGAAAGAACCATCCTACTACTTTGTTTGGTGTTAGGAAGAGCCTCCGTTCCAGATGAGTCTACCATAGTTTCTTTGACTTGTGGCCATAGATCCTTTTTCCTGAACTCCTCTGGAAAGCTGATGTAGACGGCTCTAAGAGGTAGATGTCAGTAAGGCTATAGCATATCTTGGCTAGTATTGCTCATTGGGTTCAAAATGAAGGCTTCTTTGCCCACACGTCATCAGGGAAGCTGTAGTAGAAACCTGACCATCAAGCTTGAATATAGTGGCTGCCCTTATTCCTTTCATTAAGGACTGTCCAGTCATGCAGCCAAGCTGCATTTGAGGGACAAAAATCACCTAGATTGGAGATAAAAAGTTGCTATGAATGGAAGAAGCTCTCTCTCTGTGTTGGATGCAGAAAATGAAATTGAATGTTAGAGGAGTCTAGGTATGGGGAGACTGAAAGGATGATCTGTGCTCCTATAGGAAGTGTGGTCTTAGCAGGAAGATGGCTTCCCAATCACTAGCACATAACTATAGTGAAAGCAGTTCTTGTGTCGGCACAAGCATCTCTTGCAAAAGAACCTCTGCCACTTACTAGAAAGGAGGACTCCTTTTTGTGGCCTCAAACACTAAAAACCACTCTTCATCCTATCCAACGTGCCTAAACATCCAACTGAGTTTATAATGTCCGTATTCACTATCAGCTAATGCTTTTTATTCCTCCCTCTACAGCCGGCATTGTGGACGTCTGCTCTGCCATAGATGTTCAACAAAGGAAATTCCCATCATAAAATTTGACTTAAACAAGCCTGTTCGTGTTTGTAACATCTGCTTTGACGTCTTGACTCTGGGAGGAGTCTCCTAATACGTTGTGGGAACAGGGGGATTCTCAATCAGTGCTCTTCGGACAGCAGCTCTGCTAGCAAGCCTTGTACACCGGAAAGGGAAGACCTATACATGTCTTCCTTTGGCAATAGACTGAACTAATTAAGGACCATGTTAGATATATTCCAGCATAAATGATTTTGTATGACTATAAATGTTCTGGGCCGTGATAGATTTCACTGACTAATGAATTTGGAGAGGATCATCTAAAACTAAGTGATAAACCTGAATTGAGTTAGACCCTCCAAGTTGCAGTGGGCATGGAAATTAAAATTGCATTAGACTGGTGTCCTGTGCTGATTAAAAAAATAACAGGCCTGTGCTTGCTCTGGTGCATTGCATTGAGCTAAAGTCTTGCTGTTTTCAGGCTTTTAATAAGAGATGGCACTAAGCTTCGAGGCAAATGCATCGTCTTCAAAGAAGTGTTCCCTTTGTCCCTCGAAGGCTTTTTTTAGAACACTGGACTGTGCTGTGGCAGCCGTGACCCATTTTGAGTTAAATCTTTAAACAGGGTTTAAAAGGGCAGAGCTGAAGAATCGTGGCCTTACAAGAGAGCTTTACAATATCTTGGATACAAGAGTCAGGATTGCCATTCCACAATGATACCTCCTTTGTAAATGTCTTATTAGCTCCAGCATGTTCAAGAAGAAATTGGCAGTCTTCCTTGATGGCTGTAGAACCAGTGAAGTCCACTTCTGTTGTACCCTTTGCATTAGTGGTCTCTCTGGCTTAAACCATTTTTGTGTAACTTAAGTGTTCTGAGAACACACCTGAGCTTACACTAATTGAAGAAACACTAAAAACCAATTGGGTGGCTGTACTTGCTGCAACGAAATAGTGCTGGAGCTGCAGTCATGAATCCGACAAGGGACGCTAGTTACCGGAGTGGCATTTCTTGGCTTTAAAGACAATATGATTAATCAGTGCAGGATGGAACCAGTCCTCTTTGCTGACTCAGCATGCTGTTTCTGCACTTCTAGATGGTCAGTACAAGGCTCCAGGTCCAGCAGAATGGCCAGTTGGCTGTATTTGGAGGTTCACTGTCAAATATTAGGCAGTTGGGGTTTCAGGAAGGATTTCTGATTGCACTGTGAAACAGCCTAATGTCAAACCTTTGCACATTGTAACTCTAGAATGGGTTTTTTCTAGTCTGTAGTCCCTCTTAAAAATGCTGAATCCATGAAGCAATGACACAGGTCTAGTTCTCCTCTTCCTACCTTTGCTCACCGTCCTTCCTCTCACCCCCTGGGTTGTAGCCCATGAATCACTTAACTGCTAGGAAGCACTTATGTTGGTGAACTGGCTGTTCTATGGTAAGAATAGGTCAGTCAGTTTAACATGTCCTTAAAGTGTCTGGCCTTAACCTTTTTAGTCCTGGGCTATACAGCTGTAGATCAGACTAAATGCAGGATTCCTGCTCTTTGCTCCATGAACAAATCAGTTGTGTGTGTGTGTATATATTTTTTGTTAGTGTTCATTAACCACTACCTGTACGTGATATGGTGTGTGCAATGGGGGTTCTGAACTCTAATTTCCCTGTCTTCTGGAATAGTGACATGTCCAGTATTTACTGCCTACATGTAAAATGAGCCGACAAACCAGAGTGCTACTTTTTTATATTTCTGTGGTTTATAGGATGTATTTGCTTTGTTGAGCAAAATTTGGGCGTGTGCAGTAAAACAGACTAGCACCCATCTAGTGCATTTCAGATGGAATCTCAGTGCACTGATTGGTCTTACAACATATGTTGGTGCAAAAAACTGGAACCCTGAACTTAGTTAACAGAGTGAAATAATGGACCAACTTTGTCATTCACGGTCAGTACAAATCATGTTAGCTATGGCAGTAGCCCTGTTCTTTCAATAAAGGACAAATACTGCCACTTCCTTAAAAGGTGGCATTCTTGGATGTAAACAGTGTGTACCTTCAGCATACCTAAATTTGAATAGCAGCTTGCCACAGGCTCCTTCTGAGACCCTTGAGAAGGATGGCATGAATGAGTGTCTCAAAACCACTTGGTTACAAAGCATGATGGTTCACCTGAACAAAAGAAATCATGACCAATCTAAGAATAATGGATCACTTCTGATTGTGTTTAAAATATTAGTAGCTCATCATGGATTTGCATAAGTTATCAGTTCAAAGAAATTGTCAACCACTTGCACTTAAACTGACTCTCCACAAGTGGAGATCAACTTCTCACACTTCCTTACCCACTTAAAACCTGCGAAAAAGAGAAGATGCAACATGAGATGATAGGAGTGGTTATTCTAAAGTCATTCACTTTAGTTTGGGGAGCCCTCTGGGAAGTGCTCAGCAGCTTTTACAGTCGATCCAAAGCAGTTTGTTTCTCATGCTAGCCTCCTCTTACATGTTGCAAACTCACTTTCAAGGGGTGGAATAGAAATTTATGGTGGCTTTAAAAATAAAACAATCCTAAATCCTAGCTAAGCACTTAAAAAAAAATAGTAGCATTAATACTTGATGTGGCATCTGTCCCTCATTGGAATTCCGAGGCAGGTATGAGTATTAATAGCCTTCCACTTACAACCTGAAAGTACATTTGAGCTTGAAGTCAAAGTGACTACGTTCTCAACAGAAATCTGACAAATGCCAAGTGCTTTTATTATGTTTTTGTCTTCTGATTTCTTGAAGGTAGCTGCTAGGAGAAGTGGTGTGCATTTTTTTTTCTTCAGCTCTTATTCGGTGTGGTAGTCATAAACTGTTACAGGCTATCAAATCAGTGAAAGCTCTTAATTCTCTAGTGGTGATTAATACATTTCTAAGTTGGCAAATAATGAGATTCCTTTGTGGCACATTTTACAACTGGCACCCCAAAACCCTGCCACACTTACTATCCTTTGATACTCACAACTTACGGAATGTTAAACATCAATTTGATCACAGATGTCCTGGGTTAGGTGAGCATGAGACTGAATTCTCTTTTTGGCCCGCTTTGTGCAGTTTTGTCAGGTTTAGAGTTTTAGGCAGTTGTGGTTGAAAGGGGGAAATTTTGGTGCCTGTTCTGTGTTGCAAAAGGAATTCAGTCTCCAAGATAGTCAATCCAGCCCCTCCTCCAAGCACCATTCATTTGAATTTAAAATTAGATATTGAAGTAAAAGTCTAGGGGAATAACCTTTCATTTCATTCTAGTAAATACAACAAGAAGTTTTTGGAATTACTGGTGTTCAAGGTACTAACACAAACATTACTAATTAACTTACTAACAGTTTACAGATGCCTTAAAGACTTCCTGTATGGAGACAAGTGACTCGTACAACTTGTCACGTAGCATATGTAAGATCATCTGTGTAACAAATGAACATAGGGAGTTTTGTAGACTGTAGTTTTTATATTTTGATTTTTCCCACTGCAGCAAGTTTGTTTGGAGACCTGGATATTGCAACAAATTCTTGCTATTGCATGTTGCATTAAAGTATAAAAGATTGATCATTCAGACGCTTCCCGGTGATCAAAATATGTGAAACTGTCAACCTTGCTATTTATGATATAGAAAGTCTTAAAACAATGGGATTTTCTGAGAGTCCAATCTTAAATGTATTTTTGCAATATTCCTACTCCTGTGTAATGAATCATTGTAATAAATTGAGGATGACTAGAGAAAAGACACCATGTGGACTGTAAACCTTAATATAAAAATACATCCTCTTATTGCACCAGTAATAAAGTACAGGAAGAAAAGTCTTATTCCCAGGGTTTACTGGTAAATTTCCTCCTTGCTTGGAAACTAAGGTGCAAGATTTAATTATTTCAACTTGGCTTCTCTTTTGTAAACTATTAAGCATATAGTGATTATTCCAGACATATATGGTAAAATACTTGTATAATTGCTTAATTAGAATTATTTTGGCAGACTAACTCTGCTGTACTCTTTGAGTAAATTATACACTCACCAAAACCCTGTCAGGATAGATTTGGCTGAAGTCATTCCTGTGTAGTCCTGAATTCCTGTGCTGCACAGATCTAGACTTTCAGTTAGCTAGTTCAGTTCATGTGTTTTCCCCCAAACCAATTTTTAGCTTCATATGCATTAAATGTAATACTGAATTGGAAGTGAATTGAAAGAAAACAAGTGCAAAGTCACTTTTACACATGGCAGATGCCTCTTATCTAATCCATGTAGCTTTACTTCAAAAAGGGAAGCTCCAGAGTAACTGTAAAACCAGCCAAAAGCATTTTGTTAGGATTGTTTGTGACTTGTATGTTTTGACAATAAACATTGCTAAAAATAACTGATATGAATTTGTTCATTCTATGTGATTATGGAAGTAATTCTCTGAACTGCATGCTACTCTGTAGCATTATAGAAGAATGTTAACAGAGCCCTTGCTTAGGGTATGTCTATACTTGCATCCTAGTTCAAACAAGGGATGCAAATGTAGGCATTAGAAATAGTCAATGAAGAGGGGATTTAAATATCCTGCACTTCATTAGCATAAGATCACCGGCATATTACTCTGATCAACAGCTGTTTTGAAAGTGAAAGTGCATGCCGGGACGCGTTAGTTCGAACCAAAGCCATTGGTTCAAACTAACGTTACTCTCCAAAAAATGAGGTTGGATATTGGGAAAAGCTATTTCCTTAGGAGGGTAGTGAAGTACTGGAATAGGTTGCTTAGGAAGGTGGTAGACTCTCCAACCCTAGAAGTTTGTAAGTTCTGACAAAGTCCTGGCTGAGATGATTTAGTTGGGGTTGGTCCTGCTTTTAGCAGGGGGTTGGACTCAATGACCCTGAAGTCTTTCAACCGTAGGATTCTATGATCATGAGCTTTCATAGGTAAAACCCTCTTCATCTGAGTTCGAGTAGAAATACCAGAATCTGTGATATGTCCCACAATTGACAGGTACTTATAAATATATGTTAATGAAGCTAATTAAGTGGGCTGGCTGTGTCCCATTTGTCGCTTTTGATGTGAAAATGCAGATGTCAAAGTCTGGCGAAACTTGGCTTTCTAGTGCATTAACCAGTTAATACCTTTATTCAAGCCCAGGGTCACTCAAATTTGTAGATGAATTCTGGTTCTGCAGCCTCTCTGTAATTGGCTGGTGAAATTACTTTGTAAAAGAATGGCTACTTTTTAAATCCAAGTAGTGACCAGGCAGGTTAAAATGTTCCCCTAGAGGTTTGTGTTGCCATTTTCGATATCTAATTTGTGTCCATTTTATCCTTTTGGTGCAGAGATGGTCTGGTTCGGCCAATACACATGGCAGAGGAGTATTGCTGGCACTTAATGGCAAATATCCCATTTAGAGAATGTGCAGTTGTATGAGCCCGATGTTGTGGCTTATCTGGTTAGGTCCTGTGGTGGTGCCACTTACATTTACTCAGGAACAAACCCAGTTGTCAATTCAGTGCTCATGTCTATGAATCTGAGATGTACTGTGTGGCTGCTGAAAGATTTGTTTCAAGTTGGGAGGTTGTCTGAATTGCTGAGTTGATAAGACTTTCTCTGATTTAAGACACAGTTTTCCCCTGGAGAGCTATTGTATAACTACAGGAACGGTTTCAGAGTGGATAAGCTCTAGAACAGGGGCTCTTACAACAAATTATTGGTGGCTTCTGTGTCCAGGCACCAGCTGTTGCTTCTGGTCACAGATGTTATTTCCCTGAAATAATTAACTAGGAAAAATTACTATGCACCTTAACTGCCATCCTGGGTCAGACTAAAGGTCCAGGGGGGGGGGGAGGAGAAAACCAGAACAAGAATCCTCAAGTGACTCCTCCCTTGGCACCCATTCTCAGAGGCCAGGGTTGCCATTCCTGCCCCATTGTTGGACCTAAATTAATAGAGATTTAGCTTTTTTTTAAATCAAGTGTGTTTTTTCTAGCCTCAAAAATACTGTGAAAAGCTGCATGTTCAGTATCACTTCACAGGACATAGTTGCTACCTTGCAGGCTGTTTAAAGGTAACTTGTTATAGCCACCCGGCTCACTAGCAAATCTGTGAAGTGATGCATTCATGTTTAATACCACTTGTCTCAACCAGACTCAGGACTGGAAGGGGGACTCAGCAGGGGCCAGGAGCAATGGCAGGATGCATGTAGTAGTGGGAGGCAGTGAGGATCTGGGGCCAGGAACATGGCACAGGGATGGTGGAGGTAGACAAGGACCCCTGCAGCTATATGGCTAGGGCCAGGCACCAAGAGCCAGTCACTGCATGGCCAGAAATTAATGGAGATTGCCTGTCTCCTGCCTTCACAGCAGGACCAAGTACCATCCCTAACAAATTTTTGCCCCAATTCCCTAAATGGGGAACCATGGATTGAACTCGCACCCCTGGGCTTAACAGGCCAATGCTCAAACCACTGAGCTATCCCTCCCTCTAACTTGGCTCCCACTACTGCAAGTCCTGAGCTCAGCACTTGGGGCTACCACTGTTGCAGCAGCCAGCGTCTAAAGCCAGAGGTCACAGTCCACCACAGCAAGTCTACAACCAGGACTAAGGGTTGGTAGCCCAGCAGGTGGCCACCGGCCAGGGATCAGTATCTTCAAGAGGTAGTCAGCAACTGAATCGGGCCAGGGGTCAGACCCCAGGGTCAGCCCCTTGTCTGGGTCTAGGAGTCAGAGGCTAGGGCCTGCGGTTGATGACCAGGGCGGCAGCGGTGGCTCAGTGCCCCTCCTTGGCAATCAGGGCTGGGCCTTAGAAAGCAGAGGTGGGGATCACCACCCAGTGTCTGCCTGTGCCACCTGGCCAGAGATCATCACCTAGCATCAGATTTGCTACCACACTGTCAGAGCAAGTGGCCACTACTGGGGTTGGTGGCATGCAGGCCAGAGGTAGGGATGAGTCTGGCCAAGCTGGAGGTGGAGTCTGAAGTAGAGATGTTAAATATCAGTTAATTGAATAGTTGATTAACCTCCTGCAGCATTCTTATGGGTTACGTGGGGGCGAGGGTGGTATCAGAGGCAGCAGCACAGGGTGCCAGGCAGGAGCTGGTCCATGAGGGGAGACGGTTTAAAAACCAGCTCCCCTCAAAGGACTGGGCTGCCTGTCTCTCCACACTGCTGCCTCTGATAGACAGCAGCACAGGATGGCAGCAGTCCTTGTCTGGGCAGGGGCCTGAGCTTCTGGACCTGGAACAGAGTCAGCCTGCCTGCCCGCCTGGCTCCAATACATTTTAAATGCAGTGCCACAGCATGAGCCAGACTGCTGGCCAGCCTAAAACATTTAGGCTGTGTCTACACTGGACCCCTTTTCCGGAAAAGGGATGCAGATGAGACGAGTCGGAATTGCAAATGCAGCGGGGATTTACATTTTCCCTGCTTCATTTGAATAAACATGGCTGCCGCTTTTTTCCAGCTCGGGGCTTTGCCGGAAAAAAGCGCCAGTCTAGACGGGGATCTTTGGGGAAAATAAAGCCTTTTCCGAAAGGTCCCTTATTCCTCTTAAAATCAGGAATAAGGGACCTTTCGGAAAAGGCTTTATTTTCCCAAAGATCCCCATCTAGACTAACATGGCTGCCACCAAAAAGCACCATACAAATGAAGCAGGGAAAATGTAAATCCCCATGGCATTTGCAATTCTGCCTTGTCTCATCTGCATCCCTTTTCCGGAAAAGGGGTCCAGTGTAGACAGTCTTACTGGTAGAGGGTGAATGCATGTGGTCTGGAGCATTAACCAATCAGCCTTGCTTATCAGTTAATCACCTACACTATTGCATCCGTAGTCTGAAGCCACATGGCCAGAGCTGAGGGATCATCACCCAAAATACTGCAGCTGTTGGTGCCCAAAGGCCCATGCAGCCAGGCTTCATAAATGGCACCAGCCACCCCAGGGCCGCAGCCTGAGCTCCACTCCCACCCTCCATCAGGCAAGAGCTCATCTTGCTCCTTCAGTATTGTACTAGGGCTATGAAAGTGCAACTGTGCACATGGTTAACCAATGAGCCTGGGCTCAATGGCTAGGTGCCTGGTAGGCATGGAGGGCCAGCGCAAGCCAGTTCCCTGCACACCCTGGCTCCTGCGTCTCGATCAGAGGCAGCAGTGAGGGGGAGGAGGGAAAGGCAAGAGCTGGTGCTTGCAAGGAGCTGACTGCCCCCCACCCAGTATGTAACCATTGACGTTTTCAGCAGTTACATGTTTACTTAAATGCACTTTAACATTCTTATATTGTACCTCAACTGCCCGCAGAGGTGGTGCAGGGTAGTGATGTAACAGTGCAGCAATTAACCGATAAGCAAAAGCTTTTGGGTTAATGCTATAAACTAGATGCATTTCCCTCCCTCCACAACCAGTAAACTTTCTAGCAGGCTGGCCAGCAGCCCAGCTCACCCCTAGCTGTGGCTCTGCATTTAAAGTGCATTAGGAGCTGGATGGGCAGGCAGCCCAGCTCTGTTCCAGTTTGCACTGGGTCCAGGAGCTCAGACCCATGCCCCCCAGACAGGGGCTGCTGCCTTTTTATCAGAGGCAGCAGCACAAGGTGACAAGCACCTGGTCCACAAGAGGAGCTGGTGTTTAAACTGGCTATCCTTGTGGACTAGCTCCCACCTGGCACCCTGCATTGCTGCTGCCCCTGCGGACTATAGAACAGTCGACTAACCAATAAGAATTCATGAGGTTACTGGACTATTCAATTAAACGATATTTAATGTCCCTAGTGCGGGGCAGCACATCCAGCAGCAAGGGGGAGGAGGTAATGCTTTGCTCTCTTCTCTCTTCCCATGAGTGCTGTGGCCACATTTGAGAAAGTGTCCTAGTACAAGCTTAGTACTCAAGAGGGAAGAACCAAAAAACTTGAACAGAAGCAACACAACTAGAAGAACTTTAATAAATAACTTCTAAACCATCCCTGTGTTGTGGTACAAACACTTAAAAAAACAGTCTACAGCGAACTTAGTGTGCTAACTTTAAAAGTGTTGGGGATGTACCTTGTCACTTATGTATTTTTGAATACTGCTTTGCCTTCTTGTGACTCCCATCGTGTAATGACTTGCACTAGTTAAGAATTTTGGAGGGGAGGAGAGAGAGAGAACTCGATAAGACAGGCATTCAGGAAGTTTTCTCCTCTCTTGTAAAACAATGTAACATACTTTTTAGACCGAAGCTTCATAAGGAAAGCCTGACAGTATAGGTCCTTTTACCCTTTCTCCTGCTGGCCTGTTACTGCACTTTGGAAACTAATGCTGCTTGCTTTAAGAAACTAGACTGGTTCTCTTGAAAACAGCTCCCATGTTGCCAAGCATGCTCATAGGAAACAGTGGCTGTTGAAATTGTAGCTGGCAGTAGTTTTACCAACAAAACAATAGGACATGCCTTCTAAAGAGGAGCCCTGCTTCTGCACGTGGGCAGTATACACTGATTGCTTGTACAAAGTAGCCATGCACAGAAGAACAGTACTAGCTTACGTTGCATATTGCCTAAAGACTAATGCAACAGCCATACTAGATCAGCCCAAAAAGTCCATCTAGTTCAGCATCCTGTCTTCTGATAGCAGCAAATGGCAGGTGCCCCACAGGGAATGAAAACAGGTCATGATCCAGAAGCTGGTGACAGAAGTTAGGGTCACTATTGAATTTTGCAAGTTAGAGGCTGGGCCTTTCCAAAGACCTGATTCCTGCCCTAAAGTTTTTACAATTTAATTAAAGAATTCAACAAGTAGAGGTAGTCAATAACAGGAAGGGAGGAGAGACTGCTGGATTATAGCAGTACAATCAGTTATATCAGCCACTTTCATCGTTCAATTAGAACAGGTGACTCATGGCTTATAAATACTACGGAAGTAGTGAGACATCTGGGTATTTGGAGAGAGTCGATAGGAGACAAGGACTTAGATGCACCCTTAGGCTATGTCTACATTACAAGATTTTTGCACAAAAACCAGCAGAGCAGCCACACCACAAGCACATTTTTGCACAAGAAAATTGACATGAGGGCTTTTGCCCATAGAGTTCTTAGTATCTCCGTGAGGAGTAACTCCTTTTTGCGCTACAGCTCTTGTGCAAAAAGGCAGGTATGGACAGTCTGGAAGGGTTTTTGGCAAGAAACTCCTATCAGGGGGAAAAAGCACAGGTGCTCTGATGGCCATTCTGTGAATGGACATCAGAGCTTTCTTGCGCAAGAGCATCCATGCAATGTGGACGGGCTCTCATGCAGAAGCACATCGCTTTTGCAATGAGCTCTGAGGTCTGGACACGTTTTTGTGCAATAACTGTTCCGCAAAAGTCGTCTTGCGCAAAAAGCCTCAGTATTTCCTGTAGTCAAAGAATAGTACAAACACTAGTTGAGGAAACAGATATTGCATCACCTAGTGTCCTGTGTTCATTTGACAAATGTAGCTTTTGGATAGTCAAACCATACGAGATACCAGATGACATAACTGTAGCAGGGGAGAAAAGCTTCAGTTACTAAGTCATTTCTCAGTGAGTTGGTGGCTCAGTGGGTGGTGTGTGCAGACTAGCGTGACAATGAGAGCAATGCTGTGATGGGAGTGAAGAGAGGGAGGCTATTATGTGCTTCAGTAAGTGAAAATGGTTCTACAGTGGTGTACTAGCTCAGAGCTCCCTTCGCATGAAATATTACACGCGCCGGCACCATTCCCCACACATGTCTATTTCTTGATTGCAGAAGAAAAATCCTTTTTTCTTGCCAGAATTAAGTGCCAATCCACCAAGTTGTAGAAAGATTTTCCGCTCTAACATCACTTTCCTTACCATGCTCCTTCCATTTCTCACGCATCCACTGCTTTTCCTGGCACTTCAGCATGGTGTTTAAATTTACTGAGGCATAATTATACAAACGGATTCCTGTTTCTGACTCAATACCAGAGAATCCACAGTGAAGCTCAAAAAATGCATCTCTCAAAACCAATATGGTTATTGACTCAATCCTTTAACACACACCAGTCAGCCAGTGGATGGCATCCCTTGTATTCCTGTAGGTTAGGATTGTCCAAGTCACCTCTGTCACTGTGCTCAGTAGAATCCAGTTGTCCAGAGGGAGGCCCAGTAGTTCTCACACACACACAGTGACTATCACTGGAACCAGGCTTGTACAGTTTCCTGGGTACTCCAATCCAGTCTCTCTTCACTCCCCCACTATGGATGAAAGAATATGATCAAATACACGCTAACAGCTAAACCAAACCACGTTCTTTCTTCTCGCCCAATAGATATGTATTTCACACCCGCAGCTGAGTGCAAGACTCTCCTGAAGGGGACTGGGGCAACTACAAGTATGCTGTAACCTGAACTAAGGACTATTTTCAGAAGCCGGAATATGATCCAACATCCACACGCTTTCTGGTACGCTTCTGTTGAACCTTCTAAGCAACTAGCTGCCCGCTCAGTCTCTTCTCCAGGCTAAACAAACCCATTTTTTCAATATTTCCTTATGTCATATTTTCTAGATATCTAATAATTTTTGTTGCTTTCCATGGAACTTTCTACAATATCTCCATATTAGGGATGTAAAAAGTTGTTAAAGTGTAACTGCTAAAAATCCTAGCGATTAACCCCTGCCTGTGGTGGGCCCTAGAGGGCTGGAGCAGTCCCCTACACAGGGCGGGTGGGGAGCTGCTCCAGACCCATCCAAGTTAACTGGTTAACCATTTACATCCCTAGTCCATATCTTTCCTGACTCCAGTTGTGGCTTTATAAGTGAGGAGTGAAGTGGAAGAATTACTTGTCATGTCTTGCTAATGACATTCCAGCTAACATGGGGTAAGCAAATAATTTTTCATGGGGGGCCCACTCAAAGAATTTGGAAGTGGTCAAGGGCCACACTCTTCCATGGTATTAATGGAGGAGGTGTGGGGTATGGGATGGAGGTTGGGTGCAGAAGGGAGCTCAAGGCAGAGGATTGGTGTGCAGGAGGGGGACAGGTGCAGGAGAGGATTCTGACCTGGAAGAGGAGTGCAGGGCTAGGAGGGAGTTGTGACTTGGGAGGGGCAGGGTTTGGTAGGGAGTATGGGTGCATGAGCAAGGATGCAGAGGTTTGGGTTACATGGGGCAGGGATGCAGGAGAAGGGACAGAGTGGGGAGGAAGGGAAGGGCTGGGGTGCCAGAGGCAGGCTGTAGCTGGGAGGCACTTAACTAGACAGCACCTAGCCAGCAGGTCCCTCAGGCAGGCTCCCTGCCTTCCACCCATGCACGCCGCTCAGAGCAGAACACTGTGGGGGCCATGTGCTGCTCTGACTGTTGCAAGCCACGGGGGTGAGGGTACTTCATGTTTTGTCTGCCCTGCAAACATGCAGCTCCCATTGGCCAGTTTCCAACCAATGGGAGCTGATATATTATGCTGGGATTGGGACAGTGTACAAACCCACTTCCTCCTCCCCCGGGTGGTGGTAGTGATGGGAGAAGCACATGGCCTCTGCAGCTTTGAGCCGCATATAGGGGCAGGCCAGGCAGGGAGCCTACCGGAGGCTCCTGAGCTGCGGGTCATATCTGATGGCTTGGTGGGCTGGAGGTGGCTTGCAGGTCACAATTCGTCCACCCCTGAGCTAATACATCCCAGAATGATGTTTGCTTTTTTGCAACACTGTTACATTGTTGATTCATATTTAGTTTGCGTAGGAAGCAGTCCTGCAGAACTAGTCACTTCCCATTTTGTATTTTGCAATTGATTATTCATTCTTAAGTAGTAATTCGCATTTGTCCTTATCAAATGTCATCCCATTTAATTAAGACAGTTCTCCAGTTTGGCAAGATGATTTTGAATTCAGTCTTCCAAAATGCTTGCAACTCCTCTCAACTTAACTTTTAATCATACAAGCTATTCCACTGATATTTCACAGTATTTACATGCTTAAAATTAAGCCCATACTTAAATATCTTGTTGGACATGGGTGATAGTACAGCACTAGCACCAACTAAGATTGTTTGTTTTTTTAAATTTAAAAATCTAATGCTTAAGGTGGGCAAATTTCAGCCCACGGGTTGGATCCAGTCCACAGGGTTAGTCTCTGGCAGGCTCCCACCTCTGTTTACCTGCCCTTCTGCAGGTATCGGACGATCACAGCTCTTTTTGGCTGCAAATTGCCATTCACGACCAACACAAGCGGCAGGAAGTGGCATTTTTTTCCGTGTCACTTCCCATCACTTGCATTGGCCATGAATGGTGATCTGAGACCAATGAGAGCTGTGATCGTCTGATACCTGCAGAAGTGCAGGTAAACAAAGTGGTGGTGGCCCACCAGGGACTAACCCTGGCAGGCTGCTGTATTTTTATTGCCCACCCCTGACTTGAGAGATACGCATACATTTCTGTAAAGGTACCTTTAGCCCTGGTATATATGGCAATGTTTGTTTCTCTATCAATTTTTATTAGAATGCAGTTAATGCTAGTGTATGTCTGCTAGACTTCAAAGGTATTTTATCAGACAGCTATTGTCTCCAACATTCATTATGTGGCTAGAACTGCTGGGAAATGGCAATCTTCATTTTGATCTAATGCTTCCATTGGATCCTTGGGACTGGTTTCATTTATTGGAATTGCTGCTCACGCACAGCTATCAATTCACCTACTCAGACTGCTATCTTTAGTTCAAAAGCATTAACAGAACTGTAGTTAGCATAAACAGCATTTTACAAACTGTGCAGCAGTATTTTAAAATTAGCTTCTGTACTTGATGAGTTTATGGTCTCTGAAGATACCATTTCCCAGACTCTGTTAATGCTAATACAGAATTCCTACCCATTTTACTAAGCTAAGGCTTGCCAGAGCGAGGCAAGTGCTAATAAGGATGTGACTTCCACAATGTTGCAGAAGGGCTTTGCTAAACAATTCTTGCAATGCACCTGAATGTCTGATTTAATTCCCTGAGATTGCAGATGACAGGTTGGACCATGCTGGGAGGGGCTGCAACTGCTTTGGAGGATAGGGTCATAATTCAAAATGATCTGAACAAACTGGAGAAATGGTGTGAGGTAAATAGGATGATATGTAATAAGGACAAATGCAAAACACTCCACTTAGAAAGGAACAATCAGGTTTACACATATAGAATGGGAAGCGATTGTCTAGGAAGGAGTATGGCAGAAAGGGATCTAAGGGTCATAGTGGACGACAAGCTAAATATGAGTCAACAGTGTGACGCTGTAGCAAAAAAAAAAAGCAAACATGATTCTAGGATGCATTAATAGCAGTGTTGTGAGCAAGACATAAGAAGTCATTCTTCAGCTCCACTCTGTGCTGATTAGGCCTCAATTGGAGTACTGTGTCCAGTTCTGGGCACCACATTTCAAAAAAGATGGAGGAACTGGAGAAGGTTCAGAGAACAGCAACAAGAATGATTAAAGGTCTAGAGAACATGCCCAATTCTTTCAGTCTTCCTTCATAGGTCTTGTTTAGTTTGGAAAGAAGACTGAGAAGGGACATGATAGCGTTTTTCAGGTATCTAAAAGTGTGTCATGGGGTGGGGGTGGAAGAAATTGTTCTCCTTGGCCTCTGAGGATAGGACAAGAAGCAATGGGCTTAAACTGCAGCAAGGGAGGTTTAGGTTGGACATTAGGAAAAACTTCCTGTCAGGGTGGTTAAACAGAGGAATAAGTTGCCTAGAGAGACTGTGGAATCTCCATCTCTGGAGATATTTAAGAGCAGGTTAGATAGACGTCTATCAGCGATGGGTTAGATGGTACTAGGTCCTGCTGTGAGGGCAAGGGACTGGAATCGATGACCTCTCGAGGTCCCCTCCAGTTCTAGTGTTCTGTGATTCTATGAAAAAGCTTTGCTACCATTTAACACTGTATTATCTCAGCACCTCCTGGATGAGAGATCAGCAAAACTTTTTAGAACTAGGAATGGGAGAGTTAAGCTATTTCAGGCTTCCAGGAAAGAAGCTCAACCCTCTTCTCCCAGAGGTAGAGGCTCAGAACCACCCCCCCCCCCTTGGCTCAAAAAGCAGGAACTCTTCAGGTCCTACAGGAAGGGAGTATGTGGGGAGAATCCAAATAACCCCTTGACTCTTTTTGAGCATTTAGCATGAACCTGCAAAGAGAAAGGAGCTCTTAGCTCTGCTATAATTTACTTAGCTGTTGTATCTATCTAATGGGGATAGGAGGTTAAGTGGCTTAACCTCATCTACATCGATACACAACAATCATCCCTGCTGCGTGGCCTAAACATGTCAGAAACGATTTCTGCTAGATCTGTGCCAAAGCTGTCAGTGGTACCTAGACCAGCATACATAAAGTCGCAGATGAGAGAGGTCCAGAGCTTGTCTCTACAGAGTCTGACCACGCCAGCAGAAAGGCAATGTTTACCTTTGTTTAGAGCACCAGAATCTGCTGCCACTAGCTAAACTCCATTCAGAGTTACAGAGTGGGAACTTATTGTTTTGTCCCTTGAGTTTCAGCCCTTCTTCGATGACAGCATTAGCCTGTTCCAGAGCTTCTGTAGGTGCCCCATTTTCATCATAAAATCTTCCTACCAGTTTACCTTTTGATGGGACAAAAAAAGCCATAACATTTTTTAAAATGCCTCCATAAACCCTTTAAAAAGCATTATATTGTACATGAAAGTGTTGTTTTGGGCACTCTGAGCATATTTTAAAATTAAAAGAATTAAGTGTCCACAACTTAATGCCTTCTGATCAGGAATCTTAAAACATTTTTGCAAACATTAACAGTCATAATAGGTGTAATTCACTATTTCCATTTTTTCACGCACAAACATTAAATCACAATAGAAGCCAAGAGACTTGACACCAGTCCAATGTTAACAACCAGTCTAACCTCTAGACAACATTACAGGCAGTCCCTGGGTTACGTACAAGATAGGGATTGTAGGTTTGTTCTTAAGTTGAATCTGTATGTAAGTCGGAACTGGCGTCCAGCTTCAGCCGCTGGTCAGTTGCAGCAGCGGCTGAAGCTGGACGCCAGTTCCGACTTACATACAGATTCAACTTAAGAACCCCAGGCGTCCTCAAGTCAGCTGCTGCTGAAACTGATCAGCGGCTGGTTCCAGGAAGCCCAGGGCAGAGCAACTCTGCCTCGAGCTTCCTGTAGTCAGCCGCTGGTCAGTTGCAGCAGCGGCTGAAGCTGGACGCCAGTTCCGACTTACATACAGATTCAACTTAAGAACCCCAGGCGTCCTCAAGTCAGCTGCTGCTGAAACTGATCAGCGGCTGGTTCCAGGAAGCCCAGGGCAGAGCAACTCTGCCTCGAGCTTCCTGTAGTCAGCCGCTGGTCAGTTGCAGCAGCGGCTGAAGCTGGACGCCAGTTCCGACTTACATACAGATTCAACTTAAGAACCCCAGGCGTCCTCAAGTCAGCTGCTGCTGAAACTGATCAGCGGCTGGTTCCAGGAAGCCCAGGGCAGAGCAACTCTGCCTCGAGCTTCCTGTAGTCAGCCGCTGGTCAGTTGCAGCAGCGGCTGAAGCTGGACGCCAGTTCCGACTTACATACAGATTCAACTTAAGAACCCCAGGCGTCCTCAAGTCAGCTGCTGCTGAAACTGATCAGCGGCTGGTTCCAGGAAGCCCAGGGCAGAGCAACTCTGCCTCGAGCTTCCTGTAGTCAGCCGCTGGTCAGTTGCAGCAGCGGCTGAAGCTGGACGCCAGTTCCGACTTACATACAGATTCAACTTAAGAACAAACCTACAGTCCCTATCTTGTACGTAACCCAGGGACTGCCTGTATACAGTCTTTTTTCACAATACTGATCCTGTATTGCCAAACACATTTTTATCAGACTACTCCTATTGTGATTTCATTACATTTGTGTAGCAGTAGAAAATAAAACTTACACTCCCCATTTAGTTCGCCTTTTGTTGGAATGCTCCTCAAACCCTGTATATGCTAATATACAGAGTAAAAATGATGTATATGTAATAGGGACGGAAAGGTTCAATGAATAAACTGGTAACCGTCACTGTTAATGGGCAAGGCTTACCAGTTAAGATTAACTGGTGGGACCTTGGATTCCCGCAAGCAGGAGCTGCTCTGGTGTTCCAGCTAAAGCAGCCTCTTGTCTGTGGCAGGCCTGGCAGCTGGGGAAATAATCAGAGCAGCCTCTGGTTATGGGCAGCAAGGGGGGAGGAGAAGAGGGATGTTCCAGCTCGGCGAGAGGGGAGGGGGCGGGACCAGTTAAACAACATGGGATTATACATCCCTAATACCTAATGGATTTTGGTTTCAATGGGACATTATTTCCAGAACACCAGAGATTTCAGATACTTTGAGAACATGAGTCACTATTGCTCAGTGTGAAAGATGAGCTGATCAGAAATAAAAGCTAGGTTTACAATCCTTCCGTGTGAAGGTTGGGTTACAGAAGTCAGTCTATATTTTTCAATTTTTAGCCAAATCTCAGAGTGCAGCTCTAGTTTATATAAATAGAAAATCCAGTCATGTTGCTTAATTCCTTTACAGTCACTGATACAATTCATGGTTAAGGGCCATCAATATCTCTGGCTCAGGATAAATGGGTCAGATTTAAAAGCTGTTTACTGTGAGCAAACAATCCCATTGAAGTCAACAGGATTACCTGGATGAGTGTTTGTAAGATCTGAGGCATAAATATATCAATTTTTCTTCAACTCTCTCACCAATCTGTTCCTTACAAGCTTGTACCAATCACCAAAATTGGTAGACACTAAACTACAAACAGATTTTTGGTACATCACACTTCTACTTTCTCTGGCATGTTACAGTTCAGGGATTAACCGTGTGGTGCAGCTTTTATCCATCTATCGGTATTCACTATTGCTATGGTGTGCTGAGTTATCTGCTTGAAAGTGAATTTTTTGCAGCTTTGCATATGGTAGATCCAACTGTAACTTTGGTTACCTTGGAATAACAACAGTTATTAGACAACTGGCAGGCCCATTATTCTATTGCAAATATCCATCTAATGCTGCCATCAGATCCTTGGGACTGATTTGTAAGAATCTATTGCAATGATAGCCACTCCCAAAAGATCACTTGCTACAGCAATGATTCCCAAATGGTGTTCCGCGGAACCCTGGGGTTCCACACAGTGAAAACAAATGTGCAGGGAGAAAATTCCATTACAATAACATATTTAAAAAAATAAATAATATTATTTGATTTTTGTTTTTAAATATGTGCAATTAAGCTAAATGTTGATCTCATGATCATGTTTAGCATTTATTATTATCCTTCCTTAGTTGTGGTCTACTTTTTCCGCTCCATATCTTAGACTTATTAGGGGTTCTGCAAAGTTCCTTTGAGTTTAAAAGGGTTCCATGGCCAAATAAAAAATGGGAAAACACCCTGCTTCAGTATTGAGTGATGATAATAGAAACCCAACAAGGCTTCTGAGGATTAACCCATACGTCACTCTGCTAAGTTACCAACCACGTACCCACAAAAAGGTAGTTCTTGCTGTAGAAAGAAAGCCAGTGTTGTACAGTCAACAGTTCTGAGGGCGATAATCCAGAAACATCATCCACCAGGCCAGCGCTGGTGAAATCTCCGGTCACAAAAGCCCTGGAGGCGTCCTTCCCTGGAAAGCAGACAAGATGAACATCCAGCTGGAGTATTACACACAGCGCAGGGAGGATCCGACAAAAAGGTAGTTCTTGCTGTAGAAAGAAAGCCAGTGTTGTACAGTCAACAGTTCTGAGGGCGATAATCCAGAAACATCATCCACCAGGCCAGCGCTGGTGAAATCTCCGGTCACAAAAGCCCTGGAGGCGTCCTTCCCTGGAAAGCAGACAAGATGAACATCCAGCTGGAGTATTACACACAGCGCAGGGAGGATCCGCGCTACAGTCCACAGCCCCCCCCCGTCAAAGAGACCAACCAGCCCCCCCCCCCCGCTAAAGGACCCCC